ATATCCAGTGTACATTAGATTCAATATAGTAGACATCGACCAGGTTTACAATAGATTTTTAAAGGGTGACATGGATCAGTTTTACAATAGATTTCAAAGGGTAGACATCGACCAGGTTTAAAATAGTTTCCAAAAGGTCGACATAGATCAGTTTTGCAATAAGGTCCAAAAGGCGAACACAGACCAAGTTTGCAATATAGACATATATGAGGTTTACTATAAAGTCTAGAAGTTAGACATAGATCAGGTTTACAATGGACTCCAAAAGGTATCTCTATCTATAAAAGGCAGGATGTGTGTGTGTGTGTGTGTGTGTGTGTGTGTGTGTGTGTGTGTGTGTGTGTGTGTGTGTGTGTGTGTAACGATTGCACCAAAATTTACATGAACATGCTCCAAGTTAGCGGGAAAGCCAAGACCGACATTGCATTTCCCAACTTCCATCGATAGTGGAAATAATCGATTTTTGCATGATTCTACGGCAGTTTTCATGCAGTTTGCGGCATTTTCTACTGGCCAGAGTGAGAGCCTATAGCTGGCTGCCACGAATAGGTAGGAAGATTCTATTGGCCAGCGTGAGAGCCAACAGCTGACTGACACGGATGTTAACTAGCATGCTAGCATGCAAAAAAATCGATAGCTGCATTCGTCACAAGTGGGAAAAATTTAAATTTGCATGGCACTTTACTCCAATTGGATCATTCGCTTGCTTAAACTCAACATTGATTCTGATTCCGCAGAACTGGGTTGGGTGTGAAAAAGTATTTGTTAACATTCTTTTTATCATTCGGTTTTTCCAGTTACGAGTCCTTTTTTAAAGCTGATCGTTTTGTGTTCAATTTGTTTAGTTCTTTTTTCGTAACAGATTTAATGTTTAGTATAGAGCTTAGCAGTGTGAGATAGGCAAGAAGTAAGGCATGTAGCAACATCAGCACGGAAAAGGGCACTCCTTTAAAGGCAAAGAAGGGCAAAAATATTTTAAGTCAAGTGATAGGGATTGCTGTATGAGTCGTACGACTTTTGAATCAAGGACGGGCAACGCCGGGTCATGCTGCTAGTGCACATATAAGTTTTACAGTGTAGTCCGAAATGTAGTCATGAATCAGGTTTGCAATACAGTTTAAAAAGGTATATAAATTATGTTTAATGTTCAAAAGGTAGACATGCATCAGGTTCACAATAATGTCCAAAGATTATATATATATATATATCCGGGCTACATTAGATTCAATATGGTAGACATAGATAAGGTTTACAATGGAGTCTTAAAAGTCGACATACATCGGGTTTACAAGTGAGTCCACAAGGTAGACAGGAACCAGTTTCACAAAAGGTCGACAAAGATCGAATTTACAATAGAGTCTAAAAGGTAGACATAGATCTAGCATCAAAATGGTAAACATTGGTGCAGTTTATTCTAAAGTAAAAGAAGATTCAGTTTTCTACTAGAGTCAAAAAGTAGGTGTAGATCTTTTTTTTACGTTAGAAACAAATGATAGATATGAATGGATACAGATTGTTAGATATGAAAAAAAATATATAGGGATAGATAGATATGAAAAGATAGATAGATAGATAGACAGATAGATAGATAGATATGAAAAGAGGGAGATAGATAGATGAAAAGACAGATATGAAAAGATATAGGTAAATAGATAGATATGAAAAGATATATATGTATATATATATGTGAAAATTTGTGTGTATAAAAATATATATATATATATATATATATATATATTATTATATATTATATGCTTGTACTTATTAGAAAGCGCTCAATATCAGAGATAGAGCTAACATATTTGGTTGGATTGATGTGAGTTTGTGACCCTGGGTTTCACGCTCTTGCGATCGTCAGACAAACGAGTTTGTCTGACGATCGCAAGAGCGTGAATCCCAGGGTCACAAATATCACATCAATATCAAATAGATAAATATATATATATATATATATATATATATATATATATATATATATATATATATATATATAGATAGAGATAGATAGATATGAAAATAGATAGATAGATAGATAGATAGATAGATATGAAAAAGAGGGAGAGATGAATAGATAAACAGATATGAAAAGAGATAGATAGATAGATATGAACAGAGAGAGAAATAGATAGATAGATAGATAGATAGATAGATATGAAAAGAGGAAGAGAGGTAAATAGTAAACAGATATGAAAAGAGATAGGTAGATATGAACATAGATAGATAGATAGATAGATATGAAAAGAGGAAGAGAGGTAAATAGTAAACAGATATGAAAAGAGATAGGTAGATATGAACATAGATAGATAGATAGATAGATAGATAGATAGATATGAAAAGAGGAAGAGAGGTAAATAGTAAACAGATATGAAAAGAGATAGGTAGATATGAAGATAGATAGATAGATAGATAGATATGAAAAGAGGAAGAGAGGTAAATAGTAAACAGATATGAAAAGAGATAGGTAGATATGAACAGAGATAGATAGATAGATAGATATAGATAGATATGAAAAGAGGGAGATAGATAAATAGTAAACAGATATGAAAAGAGATAGATAGATAGATATGAACAGAGAGAAATAAATAGATAGATATGAAAAGTGGGTAATAGATAGATAGATAGATAGATAGATAGATAGATATGAAATGAAGGATATAGATCGATCGACCGATATTAGATACATAGTTATATAAATAGATAGATAGATGTACCGAAATTTACATATGTATGCTTGTAAGAAATGCTAAAACATGTCCGTACTTGAAAAAAAAGTACTTTGTAAAACAACAGAAGTGCCTTGTCAATGATGATTTTGTGATCATCAGTCTAATACATACGTGATCACCGGAACTTACTAATGAAATGCTTGGCTGACTTAAATATCACAAGACGAACGAAGAGAAAAAAAACTGCCCTTCCTACACACGCATATTGTGTTAAGAAAGCTGATCGCTTTGTTTAGTTAATGCACATAACAATTAACATCGCAAGGAGGCTCCCAGTAATATCTCACAGCAAGTTGACGGTTAAAAATTAATATCCCTCAACAAGTTGACGGTTAAAAAAAAAAAATCAATAATCTCTAGTAAGTTGCCGGTTTAAAAAATTAATAACCCTAGTATGTTTTCAGTTTAAAAAAATTAATATCCCCTAGAAGTTGTAGGTTAAAAAAATATATCCGCCAACAAAGTTGTCGGGTAACTAAAAATTAATATCCTCCAGATAGTTGTCACTTAAAAACATTAATATTCCCCAGCAGGTTGTCAGTTAAAGAAAAAAAAAATAATATCCCCCAGCAAGTTGTAGGTTAAAAAAAATTAATATCCCACAGCAAGTTATCGTGTCGGTTTAAAAAAAAGTTAATAACCCCCAGCAAGTTGTCATTTAAAAAAAAAAGAAGATTTATTATCCCTCAGCAATTTGGTTAAAAAAAATAATATCCCCCAACAAGTTCTCGATGAAAAAAAAAAAAATTAATATCAAACAGAAAGTTATCGGTTAAGAAAAATTACTATCCCCCAGCAGGAGGTAGGTTAAAAACCAATAAAATCTCCCCAAGCAAAAATGATTAATAACCCACCAGCTTGTTGGTTAAAAAAATTAATAACCTCCAACAAGATGTCGGTTAAAAAAAAATTAATATCACCCAGCATGTTGTCGGTTACAAATAAATTAATGTCTCCACAGCTAGTTGTCGCTTAAAAAAAATGAATTAATATCAAACAGCAAGTTGTCGGTTAAAAAAAAAAATTATCCCCAAGCAAGCTGTTGGTTGTCAAAAATTATTGATAACCCACCACCTTGTTGTTGGTTAAAAAAATTAATATCCCCCAGCATGTTGTCGGTTACAAATAAATTAATGTCCCCAGCAAGTAGTCGGTTAAAAAAATGAATAAATTAATATCAAACAGCAATTTGTTGGTTAAAAAAATTCATCTCTCCCAGCAAGTAGTCGGTTAAAAACAAATAAATATCCTCAGGTAAGTTGTCGGTTGTCAAGATTGATTAAAAACCCACCAGCATGTTGTCGATTAAAAAAAATTAATAAACTTCAACAAGTTGTCGGCTAAAAAAAAAACATTAATATCCCCCCAACAAGTTCTCGGTGAAAAAAAAAAAAATTAATATCAAATCAAGTTGTCGGTTAAAAAAAAATAATATCCCCCGGCAAGCTGTCGATTAACAAAAATGATTAATAACCAACCAGCAAGTTGTTGATTGAAAAAAATAACACTCAGTAAGTTGTTGGTTAAAAAATATTAATCCCGACCCCAGCAAGTTCTGAGTTAAAAAAAAATATTTCATAGCAAGTTGTCAGTTAAAAAATAAATTAATATAACCAGCCCATATGTCAATTAAAAATTATAATATCTATAATATATAATTATAATATAAGTTGCCGGTTAAAAAAAATAATAACCTGATTAAATGTAAATATCACTTGATTACTCTCTGAGTTTCTGGGACGAGCCTTTATCATTTACATTTGGGCTAATATCCTCATCTTTGTTGTTATGTTTCACAACATTTTGGTCATCCTGCCTTCTACCTTTCTTCAGGTGTCTGCTGATATATCATCAATATTTCCACACAATATTATGATCATTTTTGTTTTATCAATTTACGCTATGAGATTTTTATGCTTGAATTTCTGTAACGAGGAGAATTTATCGTTTTTTCTTTCAATCAATTCAACCCAGGCACTGCGATGATGTCTCTACGACGCAAAGGAATGGAGGCAATGAAAGAGAATGAATGATTTTTAAGCATAAAACAAGGGATAAATCTCTACCCCTGTACAAAAGACCATGAAAGTGTCAACCGTGTGATAGGCGAACCTATATACTCTTATTGAAGAAAAATAAATAAAATTTCAGAGTTTAGGCAGAGACATTAGAAGTATAGAGGTGCAGTAGACTACAGAACGAATTCCCAATCCTAAACAAGAAACAAGGGATAAACGTCTAAAGACCAAGAAGGAATGTGGATTACGTTATTTTAATTCAGATTAATGTTTTTATTTTTGTTGCTGCAATCAAAACTTGACGGTCGTTGAGTCCAGTAGCCTTTTTCATGCGCCTGTCCTTTCGTAGTAACATTCAGGAAATTTGGACTTACGCCTTTATTCAACTGTATTTATTTGACACTAGTTCCACAGTCTGATTCAGTACTACTCGGCCCAAGGATCGAACACATAATTACTTATTTGTTACTGGTCAGTTATTACTCAACCTGTTTCGACTGAATCAGAATGTGTACTACCCGGCCCAGATAATGAGCTCACAATTAATCACTACAGTTACTGCTTGCCCTGTTGGCTCTGAATCTGTACTACCCGGATAATGGACTGAACTCACAATTAGTTATTTAGTTTTAATATAGGTTCTAAATGGTAGACATAAATCAGGTTTACAATATAGTCCAAACGGTATAATATGGATCAGGTTAAAATAGACTCCGAAATGTAATCAGGTTTACAATAGTGTCCAAAAAGTACACATGAATTTGCTTTATAATAGAGTCGAAAAGGTAGTTATAGATTAGGTTGATAATAGAATCCAAAAGGTAGATGAAATCGATCAGCTTTATAATAAATGTATTTTGGTCAGATCAGGCTTAGTTCTGCAACTGGTGGTATGTAACCCAGTACAACATGCCAGACGGGGGTTTAGCATCTAAAACAGCTACTTCACTAGCTTTTCTGTTGGTGAAGATAGTGGCATATCACCCCATGTGCCCGAAAACAAAATCTATCAAAAGGCGGATTTTTTTTTATAGAAGCCAGTGGCCAATATATATATATATATATATATATATGATGAAATATAGTTTTAAGGTATGCTCTGTTTATAGGTTAAAGTGCTCAATATTGGGGATAGAGCATATATAAATATAAAAGTGAACATTGAAGCCAACACCTGGAGATGACTTGAACACAATCATCAAGCTATTGTGTTCAAGCATGAAACAGACTGTCACCGCTCGTTGTTGACCTCAGTGTCCACTTTTATATAAAAAAAATTACCAACAATAGTTATTTGTAGTAAAATTACCAACAATTACCAACCAATATTCAAACAAATGCTTAATGCTTTATAGTTACATCTCTATTTATCTATCTATCTATAATCTCTCTGTCTGTCTGTCTGTCTGTCTGTCTGTCTTTCTCTCTCTCTCTCTCTCTATATATATATATATATATATGTGTGTGTGTGTGTGTGTGTGTGTGTATTTGTGTATCTAGGCAGAAAATTATCTTTTAGGCATGTTTGATGGAATAAATTACGTCTGCATATTTTTATCATAATACTTTCATATTCACGAGTATTCTTCCGTATATTACAATTATTAAAATATTCATGAATAGGAAAGGATTATAACAAAAATAAGCAGATATAATTTGCTGCCTAAATACACACACACACACATATATATATATAAAAGGTATACATGGATAAGTTTTATGATAGAGTCGAAAAGGTAGTTATAGATTAGGTTGACAATAGAATCCAAAAGGTAGACGTCGATCAGGATTACAATAAGTTATTTTTGTGACATTTTTAAGATCAGATGAAACTTAGTTCTGCAACTGGTGACATGTGATATATATATATATATATATATATATATATATATATATATATATATATATATATTGAAATATCGTTTTTAAGGTAGGCTTTATTTATAGGTTAAAGTTCTTAATATTAGGGATAGAGTGTATGTAAATATAAAAGTGGACATTTAAGTCAAGACACAAGGATTAAACTCCAAATTATTTTTTAGTACTGCTCAGTCGAAATTTGTATTACCCGGGCCAGCGATTGAACACACAATTACTTTTTCAGTAAGTACCATTCAGTTATTGCTCATTCTGTTCATGTTCATATATATATATATATATATATATATATATATAATGTATTATGTCATATTTGTGGATTAAAGTGCTTAATATCAGGGATAGAGCATATGCTAATATAAAACTGGAAGTTGAAGTAAACACTCAGAAGTGACAGTCTAAACATAATCGTCAGGCTATGTGAGTTACGTTTTGGCTTGACTATTTATATATATAGGTCAGTGATGCATTGTGGGTAGTCTATTGTATTGCATTGTGGCTAATTATATATTATATATGCGCGGTAATTATTGGAATGTGGTCAATATCAGTGACAGAGCGAACATATTTACTTGTCTGGATATGAGTGTGTGACCATTGGTTTCACGCTTTTGCGATCATCAGACAAACTGGTTAATTTTTTAAAATTGAATCTATTTATGCTTCTTCGTGTTTGTGTTGTGGGGGGGAATTTCCGTCTTTTTCCGTTTTGTGTCTTACACACACAGACATACATGCATGCAGGTGTACGTAATATAGTTCACACAAACACACTCGTATAAACAATTCTAGATTAGGCCCTGATACATATTCACGCGTTTGAGTATAGATACATACATACATTCTAGCCTTCTATATATACATATATGTCTGACTGAATAAATTACAGACATTATGTCTGCTAATTTTTAATAAAATCCGTTCATATTTACGGATATCCTTCCGTGTATTGATGTTAAAAGATGACAGAAATGTACAAATTTTAAATTTAAATTAAATTTCTTTTATTTTCCAAGTACTTAGGATCTTATCCCAAGGTCATTGTATTTACATGAATCTGCCTTTTCATCTTCCTAAATACACAAATTTTAAATTATATAATCCCACCAGAACAATAACAC